GCTATTAAGTTGAACAGATATATTAAATAGTTAATTAAGATAAAGAAATAGTAACTATTATATATAAATAATATAATTGGTTTTGTTTTACAACCCGCTATTAAGTGTATACAAATTTCAGTAAACATATTATTTATTTTGAAGTCCTTTTACATATCCGCAGAATTTTTGTAGCTCGCAACTCGGAGGGCATTCTCTAATTGATTCGATTATGAATCCCCACACTTCTGTTTCACTGTACTAAAGAAACAAATTGAATTCTTTCTATTTACAGACATTAATTACACAAGTGTTTACGCATGCGAATAAATAAGTTGAATCTCATATAATTTTTTTTATAAAAGTTTCTAAGATAATTTAGTAAATGTTAATGACTAACTGACTTGCATGTTTCATAGATTTATTTTGATATATAACTAAATATACAGAAGCACTCTAGGTTACAAAAATTATTAATTAATAATTATTTTTTAGTATGATTGCTACATCTGGTTATTAGGTACTTAGTGAAGTATCAGTCACTAATTCAAAGTAACTCTCTGCCATTTTAATATCAAAATTTCCTCTACATCACCACAACAAAGGAAACAGTAACTTACAATTAGGGGATCCGCTAATGACATAGACAAAATGGACATTTATATATGCGATTTTTCCAAACAATAAGACTCTTGTTGATTCCGCATGACTTAACTTGTTTTTGGATGAGGATTAATGAGCCGCATTTTCTTACTTTCATGATAATTTATATATATATACTTACATAATTGAATATGTTACTTGGATAATAATAATCATAAATTTAAACAGTTAGGGAGATTTAGGTAAACGAATGTGTCATCAAGGTATCATGCATTTTGTACTTTTTTAAAGAATATCTATTTATAGACTACTCATTTTCATATTAGGTTTACAATTTTTGATGTAATGAAACGATTAATTATGCAACAAAACAGTATTGAATGTCTATCTCAAGTTTTACAATGTACTGCCATCGCTGGGATAGAGAGAAACGGACTTCATACATTTCTTAATTAATAATAAACGCTTTAGAAAGCTTAACTCCTAGCTTTGTTATAATTTTGTTAGCTCAAATGCAAACTGTCTCGGATTTTGTCTAGACATGATTGTTATCCTCTAACATAGTATACATATAATATTAATGAAATTTAACAACTGACAAATATTATTAGGTTTTGTGAGACATGAACACACTCCTTGCCGATACGTCACCGCTGTCAATGACATTCTCGGATTTAATATGAGTTTTATTAAACTTAGCCACTACAATTTCGGTTTTGTTAAACTACCCACACAGTTGCGGACTTTGCTGCTTAGATGTGTGATTTTTCATTGTTAGAAAAAGTTATATGTTCTTATATTATAACACCGAAAAGCTTCTCTGGACCAAAGCAGTAAGGTTGATTTTTTTTTGTCACATGTGATATATATGTAGCGCTAGATCATGCGGTAATATTTTGGAGCACGGTAACATCTGCCTTTATTTACGTTTTGGCTCCAAACTGCGGTACAATAGGCGCGCCGAATCGGACAGAGTTTACAATGGAAGGTTGTCCCGTTGTCCTGGGGACGGGGCGGCGGCTCCCTTTTATGAACAAAATACTAAATGACCTTTAGCTTTTAGCTTTGTTGCAAAGAAACGCTGCGATTTATAAATCGCGCATTCCAAGCTCCATTTTTACGATCAAGGATGACCACTGCTTGTAGTCTTTTCTTTTAAGAATAGATGAATATCATTTATGTCATATCAAACATGTTGTAATGTCATAAAATATAACATTTTTTACTTGTATCTTTTAACCTATATAATCCAAACACGGCTCACTTACAGATATTCGGAGTATTTAATATTTTTGGTTAGAATCTACAAATATATAACATTATGATTATCTCATATGCAATAAGTTAGTAGTGTCACTGATAAATTGTCCGCATATTTGTCAATTCAACCATAATTCAGTACAAATCATTGTACCCTACACGAGACATAATAGAACAATTAAAATGTGCGATCATCCAAACCGATGTTACATTCGAGGAGTCAAAATGTAGAATTCGCGACATATGGTTAAGGCGGACCCTCGACAAATTAGTGTTTAAGAGATTGCCATCAATACGAATACAAACTGTCCAATCCATTACGAACAAATGGTGTTATTTAGTGCCATAACCGCAATGGTAAAGGTACGGTTAACTGAGGGTTGAAATTATGAAGTTTAAATATTTTTTTGCCACATTAAGCAATTTTATCAGCACAGAAACGAGAAAAATCAAATATAACGTAATTTGGGATAGAATAATCACGTCAAAGTATATTTTATTTGGTGTAGCTAAGAATAGAATAATATAATAGTCTACGAATACATTAATTAAGAAGGACATCTGTTAATTTATAAAAAACATTATACATCCATACCGACAGTGATGTGGTGAGTTACGATCGGCGTGCAGTAATCGAAGATCATTATCGGCGTCAATTCAATCAGGCACGAGATTAAAACCGTTTAGTGCACGTCTTAAAAACTCTTCGACGCCAATTTGTAAGAGTCGTAATAATTTTTGTTATAGCTTCTGTATTTCGACGACGTTGATTAGTTTTTGAACGTTCTTAATTATTGCCAAAGGGTATCAATGAAATAGTTGAGAATTAAAATTGTTGATATTTCAATCAACACATCAAAATTGAGTTTTACTATTTTAAATATTCAAACTGCTATGTATTCATTTGGATGCTGTGATGTAATAATACCCTTTTATATACCTACAAATTATTAAAATATTGTTCGATGTGTCCGATAACATACAAAAAGAATAATAAATCATTCCATTTCAATATTATTTGAAAGTGATGTCAAATAAATAATATACTATCATAATATAACATGACAATGGCTGCCACAAAAAGATTGGCCGATTTGTAGTAACTTAAGTAGAACATAATGGAGCTAAACGAATGCTTTTCTAAGAGACGACTCACTTTTTTATCTTTAGAGTTAGAAAACGTACAATCGGTATCGAATATATTTTGAGGAGACGATAAGGGCTAACAATTGTGACGAACCCTTTCACAGCCCCCGCCTCCACCAGCGTCTTGTATTAACATAATTTGATATCGTCAGCAGATGTGTCGCGACTTTTACTTTTCGACTTCAACTTTCACCTCGTGAATGGTGATTTACATTATTTAGGATGCGCGGGACACGTGTCTAGTGACGACGGATCGATCTTCCTGCGTGATTGTATTGCACAATACGCGACTAAAAAAATGCGTGGGCGCAGCGCATTGTGGGCTGCTAAATGCTATGAGGACCCTTTGTCCATTGTGTGCTCGCGAGGGTGGCACTGTGACACATTTATTTCAACCCAGTTTTTTAAAGCCATTGTATTAAAAATTAGATATCGAAGAGTTCAAGAAACGTGATACTATCTTTGTTCTTTGAATCGCATCCTCCTTCAATGGATCCTCCATCTGAATAGTAATAACGCATCCCAACGATATTTTCTCAACGAGAGTTGTTTGGTAAACAGGTTAGCTTTCATTTTCTATAAAATAATAATATGTTAGACGAGAAGGGTGTGATTCGATAGCATAATTGATCAAAAAATTGACCGTTAGACGTAGCCGACGTCCAAGCTATCAGCTGATTGTAAAAATTCCTTTCATCTCGGCGTGATGAATGACGCTCGCGCAGGGATTTGAAAGGGTGGTCAATACGATTACAAAACACGTCTTACGTCGGTTGTTTATAGCGTTTGTGACCGTTTTATCGATGGTCGAGAGAAGCAGCATCCGGTTCTTGGCATTAATCTCGACAATGCGCCTCTATGAGATCGGCCGTTTGGACTCAAACTAGTTTTGGTAACGTTTCCCTAGTGTCCACAATAACTAACGCTGAGATGGTGCATAGTAATCGAATTTATTATAATTATGTTTATTGAACGGACATCTTTACAAGTATAGCAACATTATTTTCCCATAGATAGACATCTGCTACAAATATATTGTACAATTCCAAATATAAATACAATACAACAAAATTAGGTTGAAAATTTTATAGATTTAAATTTTATAAGCGAAGAGAATATTTTTTTCTAACTGTATCGTAAGAATTAAAAGCAGGTTCAGTCAAACGTATCCTTGTCAATTTTATCTCAATTTACAAAAAAGCAAGATTATCAAATAACAGTGTCAGTAGAAGTAACGTTGATATAATACATTTTAAATTTTATTGAATATGTAGGTTATTATTAAATACAAAACCATATCCACCAATGACACTTCTCATGTAAATCAAATAAAAAATGTTTCCTCCAGACGTTTGACCATAATCCATGATTAACGACACTTTCTACAGTTCTATCTTATCAATTTTACTCGACCCAGCGCATCTCGAGGCGAACTTCGGTTACATTTTTGGTGAAGTATTCGAATGTATACTAGGAGCTGCCATAAACCAAATAATTTACATAAACCACTAACGGATCTCACGAAACCAGTCTCGAGCATATTAATGCATGTGATCTATTAGAAAATCGCCAAGACACGAATCGGATAGCCGTGGTCAGCTTTGTAACATATCTTTTTTATGATAATTTCTTTTTCCATCAAATCGACCGCTAGTAAAAACATAGTTGACAACGCGGCAAATGCTCAACTCATTTGCATAAAATATTGGGGAATAAAATTTACATCTGCTTTTAAACGTTATGTTTATTTTTAAGATGTTGCGTAACTTATTGAAATCAATTCCTTTAAAGTTTAATTAGGCTTAAGTTTTACATTACTAAATATGATTGCTAAGAATAGTTCTAAGTGCATTTCTTAAAAAGATTAGATATTTTAAAAATCGCGTTAGTGAGATATCGTATTACCATTGTACTATTATAGGGAACACGCACACATTATCTAGGAGAGGACGTATTCCCAGGATTCCGTTAGTACGTTCACATGGTGGCATCCCTTTCGGCCGAGTCAAGTGATGAGCGAAGACAATACGACCCAGCTGCCGGCCGACGATACCAGGTGAGAGCAGACAAGTAATTTACAAAGGAAAATAAACTTTATATCAACTGCTTCAAGTCGAGTTATTCAAACTTCAAGATAGTAAAAAGTATTTCAAGACGTTGAACTACATACTATAAACTGATCTTCAACTTTTTCGCGTGTTTTTAACAGATCTGCTTAATAATTCCTGCAGATAATAAACGGCTTAGTGATGTAGAGTAGTTGAATAGATTGAATTAATTATATGTAACGTAACATACATATGAGTATGATTATAAAATCTTTACTAAGCAAATGATGAGTTCTTTGTGTGGTCTTAATTCATAAAGAATTTACTACTAAGCTTTGGTTGAATATTTAAGCAAATGTTTGACCAGATAACAATTGCAAAAATGTTAATTTATGCAAAGGGGAAGTGGAGGCAAAAAGTCCAAATAAAGATTATACACCTGAGTCAGCGCATGCGCCGGATTGTTTGCAATAGAAGCATGCGCAGGTATCCGCTGTCACTCTTACGAATTAATTATACAAGCAATGTGAACACTTTAAGCACGCGTTCTCACACAATAGGAGCCACTGAATCTTTTTTCTTCTTTTACAATTAACATTTAATCACAATTGCCAGCCTCATAATTATAAATTAGTTAGATTAATAACAATGAATGAATCTCTTAAACTAATAACGTAAAAAATCACTTTAGTTTCTAGTAATTCTTGATTTATAGTTACAACAATATTTTTTGTCTTCATATTATATAAGACGAGACTAAGCTAAATTATAAAACATGACACGTATTTAAAGGTGATGATTTTTTAACGATTTTCGATAACAATTTGCCTTCATTGAACCATAAATATATGCTTCCCTGTTTTGCAATTGAATGGTACCTCCAGTCTTTGGCTCCATATTATGCACCTGAATAGTTGTTATGCTTTCATAAAGGGACAACGACAATAGGTTCGACAATTTCGCCACCGTAGGGCGTTTGTCAACGTGCTAATTAGCCGATTTTCTCACCTTACACAAAGATTGTTTTTGCTGACTTGCGGTTATTTTTTACAACACTATGGGGAGTTTTTGTGTATTTTTTTGTCTATTAACATTTTTTAATGATACTTTTTGCAGATTTTTTTATCGCTCATAACTTTGAGTCTAATATTTATTCAATATAACGGTCGTCAGCAAATAAACTTGCTTTAATAGTGCTGCGCTGGAGTGTGTTTATTTATACATACTATTAAATGTAAATATTTTTAACTCATAGAATATCTTTACATATACTTACTCATATTTTGCTACGATAAAAGGGAAATGAACAAAATAAATTTGTTGATATTAATTATTTACATATAAACGACAATCATTTCATATTTATATGCATTTTTATTTGGGACGGATAAGAATCATCAGTACACTAATTTACTATATTTAAGAAAAAAGATTAAAATTTCTAGAATAGTAGGTAAATTATATATTTTGAAAGTCAATAGTAAGAGTGGTTTGTAACAATTTCAAAGTTTGATCCCAGCTCCATAACGAAATTATTAGTACATTATAATATACCTGTTCAGTTTCGAATAAAAAACTTGCTTTAAAGTCTGGAAGCTATTTAAAAGCTCGTTTAACGCTGAAGATACCATACCATTACATAGCTTTTTTTTCACAGATTGGATCCAAATATGCAGTTGGTTTTTACATCAATTCATATAACTTTGTCCCCAATCGTGACATGTTGACAATAGCCGCGGAGGAGGGAAAACAAACCGAACAAAATCAAAACCGGATTTCCAAAATCCCGTTCGGTTGCATTCGAAAGAAGCTCTGTTTTCGATTTCTATTCGATTGTTTGTTTTTTCGTTCCATTGTTAGGTCTGTCGGGACATCGACGTGCGTACCATTTTTGCAAAGTCTATTCCATTGTATTCGGACGAGTGACACTTGATGGACGAGACAGCGCAGTCTGCCCCCGGCACCCCGATGCTGTGAGGTCAAATATTCTAAGAGACAAGACTTTAAACGGTCCCAAAAAAAATATATATATATATATATCGCATTTAATTCAGCCTCCAAGGTTACAGAACCCGAGGCTACGCAACGGGATTCCTGTTATCATATTGGATCCCGTCGTCTAAATTAGTTTTTGTGCGTCGTAAAAGGAATAAGACGCACCGGTCAACCATTGCTCGGAGCAACACTCGACCTCACTTTCGGGACTGTGAGCCTTATATATCGTAACATAAATACATATATGCTATAATATAACATACCTTTACCATACTATGACATTGATCAAAAGTCATGCTATTATTTATAGAATTGCCGAAAAATACGTTTTATTAGTTTTGAAAACATGTATTCAAACTTTGAAAAAACTTTTTATATGTCTCTTCTTTACTTTAAAATATTCTCTTCTAAGTGATAACCCTAAAACATTTGATAAAAATTTGCTGACCACAAATTCATTTGCTTTTACTCATCCAGTGTGCTAATAATGCACTGCGCACGCGCCTTCAAAAAACATCACCATCCCATCACAACCATTTTTAAAGACCCTAACTTAAATAATAATGCAGTAACACGCGAGAGTATTCGCAAAATGCGATTCGCGAATTTCGTTTCCAAATTCCTGCAGTCTCGCTTTCGGTTTCATTTTTTGCCAGCACTATTGTCTGTTTAAGTCGAATTTGTGTTTCTGTATTCTTATGCCCTTAGGTGTTTCGTTTTCGTTTTAGTTGGTTTTGATCGGGGTTCATATTATAAATGCAGTTTTTAATTTGCTCGTTCAACGTCCTCACCAGGTTTACGTTTAGCTCCAGTCACCGTAAAGGAATGCGAAATCAGCTGTCCACATTTACTCGCACCAAACTGCTGAAGGGACTTTTAATAATGACAGAACACAACTATAATGAAATAGTCTGTTTTTGTGGCAACCACGATTAGCCCTCCCGGCGATCTGAGGTCGCAGACCCCTATTATTACCAAAACGATCCTAATAATATAATGATCCTGTCACAGTGTTCCAAAGAAAAAGTTCGTAAAGGACAATTTTCGTGAGAGTTAATATGCTATGAAATTTAGCAGACGTTTAAAGAATTATTTCAATGACGTATAATGATTTTATCAACCTTTATTATAGAAGAGTTTTAATTTGGTCCTTGATTGAGGGTTTTGTTGGGAGATACTTTATAAATTTAAGCGGAAGTATAAATTGTTTTGAAAATTTACTTTAATCTGTATTCAACAAGCAACACTGTTTGAAAATTACTAATCAGAATCATCATTTTATTTAATTTTGTGTACCTAATAATAATTAAAATAGATTTAATTTTAACTCCTCATATATTACACACTAGAACGGAATAAATACAGATGTATTTTAATTTGACAATTTCGTTTTGTATGTTTCCGGCAGTATTAATATTTTTATTCATATCATAAAATATTAGGACAATAATCGAATCACACTCAGAATTTCGTCAATTTTATGTTTAGGTCTTATTGGCTATAGAATAACTTATTCAAAAACACTTTCTTACCTCCTCTTTAACAACGTGTATTGACAAAACTATACTCTTTACATTAACTACTTTCCAAAGTGATCAGAATTTTTTCGCGAATTATTTTTACTTAATACATAGTTCATTCATTAAGTAACAAATCTTATTTGTGAATGTAACTTTTTATTTTCTTTTAAAAAGGTTATTTCATTAACCTTTTTTTTCATGTATCTACTCTTCTTTATTATAAGAATGGAACTAAAACTTGAATCTATATAATTCGTTATATTACATATTTACCTGTACAATAAGATAGTAGATATTTTTTTCATATACAAATTCCTATAGATATTTGTAAGTGCGGACAGCGGCTCGGCTGCCTCCAAATAGCACATATATATTGTTCATTACGTCTCGCGAGGTGAGAGATGTTGGCGCTGTGCACGCCGCGGGGGGCTGGGTTCAGGGCTGGCCGTGTTAAGACCGATGCATTTATGGCTATTGTCGTAACAACCGTTCTATTAAACAAGCTCCAAAAACCACGAACAAGAGAGAATGTTAATCGAAAACTCTTATGGACTCCATTCTATGTCAAATCCAGATCCTAATGTTCCTTAAATCCATTTTACTTAACAAAATCGCCTAATAACATTCTGGTGGTGTCCGTTAATAGTTTTAACGAAATTATTTGATATATTTATTATGATATATGAAGAATGTTCAATGGTAATTAACAGCGGTTCATTGGCACCATTAATATTAAATAGACATCCCTACAGGTTTTCACCGGGGGTCCGATGAGCGTCGTTCGCGTTGATTTGTGCGCGGACTCCCGCGGGCTGTATTTGTACATGCACATGCGCCCACGCGACATCCCCGTGTCAATCTTACCATGAAACTATCCATACTTTTTATGTTAACCACTATAGAGAACTCATTGCAAATATCGCGTAGATCAGAAGTACAAGGTCCGTAACCTGGTGAATAATGACAGTTTTATTTGAATCACGGAAGATTGAATTCCTGCTTAAGCCATAGTTCTCAAAAATGAAGATATTATTGCTGTAAATTCTGTTGTGTGTCCTTTATATAAGGTGTGTGTACGTAATATATGTTGTTTATATATTTTTTTCTAAATAAATTTCGTTTCAATTGGGCTTCATAAAAAATAGTTGTTAAGGAAAATTTTAATATTTAAAATCTTACGGGGTTCTAAGTACATATATAATTATATTAAAATCTCCGATATTGTTTATTTTCTTTAAACGTTTTCTTATGTTTGAAAATTATATTTGTTGGTATTTATTTTTAATTTTTTTACACTTTAAAAGTATAATAGGTACATTAGATATAAAGGTCTACATTATTAATTAATAAAATCTTCCCTAACATCAGTTACGTAATAGTATTATTAAATTCCATTAAAAAATCATTTGTGTCATAGAAAATTGAAAAACATTATTTTATGTAATAAAATCCATAAATATTTTTTTTCTTGTATTTTCGTTTAAAAATTATTTATTACTTTTTTATGTTCATTATATAATGTATACCTATATATAAATATGTCAGTTGGAAAATTACTTAAAAATGTGAGTATTATATCTATAAAAATAAGTATAAAATAGGAAAATAATCATTATTTTACTGTTATTATAAAATAAAATAGTAGATTTATGAAGAAAATTTGTCGTTAAATATATTAATTAAATTCATTAAACGAATTTTTAAACCATATGTCTTAATGTATAATAAATAAAATTAAATTACAGCCATAATTCATGTGATGAAATCGGTGAGAGTTCCGAATTTCAAAAAGGCTTGCAAAGCACTGATTAGACTCATTAATTAACGACTAAAGTGAGATATGTTTATTGATATAATACTGAGTGAAACTAATCTCATCTTGCTTGATTTCGTATTGATATCTTTAAGTATTTTCCAATCTAAACGAGCCGAAATTAGAAGGCTAAAGCTACTAACCGGTCAACATAAAATTGGAAACCTACTGTAGTTGCGCAAGAGCAGACTTACTAGTTTGGCGCGGGCTGGGTCGCGTGGGATATATGAGTTTTACTGTTTCTATAACATCTTGATTCTAACTGAAACATAAAGCGAAAAAATATATTTTTTAATATTTTAATACTTTTACTAAATTATTTTAAATCATTTACTAAATAATAAATGGCATTTAATTTAATGCCTATAAATTATTATTTTTAAGTCATCTAAAAATTTCTTTTCTTTCAAAATTATTAACGCCATCTAAGTTAATCTTATAACTGGTAAATTTTATCAAATCAAGACTCTGTTTTAGCCACATTCCACATACATAACTTAGTTCTGACACTTAATTTAATCCAAAATTTTATATATCACATCAATATCTAAAATGGTCACCTTGCATACACGTTCATAACTGTCAACTAACTCAGTATTATTACCTGTTTAATATTTTTCATACCTCTATATCAATGGCGTCGCTGTAGCTCGGTCATTTTAACATACTTTTAACATCATAACCATTAGATACCATTAAAACTTATCTTCTATTCACGTCGTTTTAATGATCTGAATGTCAACATATTTTTTTAATGTGTTTGTTAATTATGCAAAAAAAGGTTTTTGAATTTCATAATTATATTTCCATAGATAAATTTAATACATTATGAATATTGCACTGTAGCGAGCAAAAGATTGTTCGTCGAGGTATAGACAGATCCATATTAAACTCTTGTATTACAATAATTATAAATGTTAAATAATTTAAACATCACACATCATCTGTCATATTAATACATCTTAAACGTAATTGTTGTTTATCTCATATAAATCTTTCTACTATCAATCCAGTTTTCTCTAATAAAAACAAACAAACTTAACTCTTCCGTAATAGGAATCGTAAAAGCTGTTCCTATATTCGTGACTACAATTACGTTGTACATTAAAACCATGAAAGGGTGGCCGTCCTAATATTGATAGTGTATATTTATCACGGACATTTTAGGAACACCTGCTGTTGCTATGGATGAGCGGTATCTGTCAAATTAATACCATCCTTGCCCTAGCGTTGTTTAGAAACGCTTAATGTTTTATTTGCTTTTGAGGTCAACCGTTAAACCATTTAAAATATTCCAATTAAACCTCAAATTGACTCTCTGATTGAATACGGAGTTGGTAACAGTTATACAAATATATTTTTTACTATTTATAGTTTGTGATATCACTATTATATATTTTAATAAATTAATCTAACAATATGATAACGCTATAAGCACATAAAACTCAAAATGTACTATAAAAACAGATAATTTATTTCAGCTTTCATGACCTGAACGTCTACACTTTAGTCCAAGTGATTGGTGGTTAAAAATAGACGCGTGCGCCGCGACGGCTCGTTGGCTGCGCCTGCGCCGCTTCCACCCACCCGCTGAGAGGGGAGAGAGGGCAGGGGGGCTCCTTCGTCTGTATGGGAGGAAGAATCTGCTCATTGAAGCCCACAGCAGTACTATTAGTCGTGAAAGGAAGATCCTTCATGCTAATTACGCTGTATAATCCTTCATCGTCATGTCCAACCCCCTAGCCTTACAACACCATTTGCCGAAATACTTATACATTTATGCGACGATGTTCTCTATAATTTATAATGCCTCTGAAATTTGTAACTACATTCAGTGGTAATAATATAAGGCACGTTGGAAATCCCATTGTGTAATTGTAAAAATGACATATCTTTATTACAATTTTCATGTTGTATGCAGGTGGTTTTTGGTTGTAGAATTATAGTTGGCGCGTGCGTGTAAGTGCATGTAATTGGCTTCACGCACGTCGTTCTATGGCTGAAGGATGGCAAATTACACTAATTGACACAAATCGCCTAAGGTACGAATTTTGACTGATCGCGTGGTTGTTCTCAATGCAAGCGATCTTCGAGATTTTATTGGTATTTGGTAATCAAACTTTGTTTTTAGCATTTTTCATTATCTGCACGCTTTACAGCTTAAATATTACTTAGAAGATTTCTCATATATTTTACTTCAAAAAAGTTTTAACATAGCTAGAAAACCTTTTTAAATTTGAAACTTTTTAAGTTTTTATTACATTTTATGACCTTTAAATATGTAAATACATTTCACGTAAAACAGTAATCACAATAATCATGACATGATAATACCTTTTAAATCCACAAATAATTTGTCGTGATGAATGTAATTTTATATGTATTTTACGCTACCAAAACATATACTTATCACATTAGCGGTGAACATCGGTGACAATTTAAAAATAATGTCCCAGGAAATGTCACTTTGAAATATAATTCGATGTCAGTTGCGTGCTCTTTCATTAAAGCCGCGGGTAGTGACATCTGTGCGTAAAGCCCTATCAATATTGGTTATTGATCGCCTCAAGCGGTACACGATTTATTAGTTTTATTAATTTATTAATATAATGTATTATGAAATTATCTAATGGCTTTTAATATTATCCATCACATTAATACTTATTGTTTTATTTAATATATTTTCCTGTGTCATTAAAGTGTATAATTATGTAAGTGCAGTTCAGTAATATGTCTCGTAATATACGCAAACGATAAGGTTTGGAATATAAATAAAGCTGTTCGAAGGCTTCCAACGGTGAGTCACATCGTCTGTCATCCTGTATCTATTAACATACGCTATAATAGTTATATCAAAAATTTAATATTACTAGAGGAAATAATAAAACAACGTTTTAGAACACAAATATTTAATACATAATCAAATTCAGGTGTCAAAACAAATAGTCGTAATTTATATATTAAAATATAGTACTGGTTCTTTGAAATTTGGTCTTCATATTGGTTAAATAATTTTAAGCCATTATATTTATTATCCGCAACCTATCCTTTTATTACGTTTAATGTACAAGACACATGTAAGTATGAGACTCGTAGTGTAGTTTTTGATACGATAGCTATCAAGAACTTACCTTCCTAGTTATATATGGCGGGGATTATATTATTTACTAAAGGCCCGTAATAAAATAAAGTCATGTACATAAAGGTGGACCGGAAACATAAGTCAGCGTGTACAAATACGGCGACAGGTCGCAGTGCACGCGCGATTCAGACCGTTGGTTATTTATGTGCCACAGTTGTCGAACGTCTGCAGCATTTAGTTTACATGGAGGGATATAATATGACATTATCATACTATAATAGAATTATAACTGAAACGTTACTCAATAGACATAACTATATAAGACTTGAAATAAATATGATATGTAGTATGTCCTAAGGTTTAGGAAGTGTACACATTTTATGGACATGAATTTTTAAAAGGTTTAACTTGAAATGTAATAACAAAGTAATTTTGTTACAAAAATTCTTATTTTCTAAGAAGAGTGAAATAAAAACAAAGACGATTATATTTACCAATTTATTTGAATATACAATTAAGTACAATTTCTGATTGAAGTTAAAAAATTAAGTATTCCTTTTGATATATGTATATCAACCAGGAAACTATTTGTTCATCGGTTTAGATAAAAAAAATACTTTAAAGTGACACGCGTTGGCTTTAAAGACCGTGAAGGAAGCATGTTATCAGCGATCGAAAACTGCAGAAGTCATTTGTAGACCAAATGGTACCTTGTAATGCCAACTAACACATGCTTTAAAGATTAGGCTATGTACAGGCTATATGTCCTCTAACTAAGGTCAGATTCTTTTGCCAAATATTAATTTAAGTATCTATTTTGTACCCTCAATTTGGAGCCGTGAAGGAGAGCTTATCGTAATGATCGCCGCCCGCAGCGTTCATAACCATGTGCACCTGCCTTTTCTGACGTAAACCCAGTATTATAGCATTTTTTTTAATATAACCCTTTATTCGTAAAACATTAAAACCGTGAAGAAACATTTCAAATATAACATAAGTCTGCTTTGAATCATATACAACAGTAATGAAAATATACAGCAGAATTTAAAAGCAAGGTTTCCAATTTGATTGCGTACTGTTGAAGAACGCTTTAAGATTTGCTTACTCATCATACCCCTGATCATATTTTCATGTTAAACATCTTATATAATGCAAGTATGATTAAATACAACAATTTCGGCTCAAAAGGAAAAAACTTTATATTTCTAATTTAGTTTAAACAAAACACTAAATAATTATTTTATCTCCCATGTGCAAAATAATTGCATCCGTAAACACTTTTCTTTATATTGACTTAATAATAAAAATCAGTATATGTGGAAATCATACTTACTTTACCTTATTAACTAACACAAAATAAAAGAACATTTTCAAACAAAACACCTTATAATAAATGGTTTAAGAAAGCCATTTCGTTTTTAACAGTGTGTTATTGTTTATAATTTTTATGACTCGCTATTGTGTGACCTACATTTTCAATGCGTCATCCAATTTAACCTCCTGAAAACCTTAAGTTATACTTTCTAACGCCATTTAAGGTTGCGTGTGAAAAATCCTTTCGGGCTCAAACGTTTCACCATAAATCAAAACTGTGGCAGCACGTGCAAATTTACTATACGTCGCAAACGTCCAGCACTAATTTAAAAATAGGCGATTTAAAACAAAGGAATTACATATGTTTGAATTATAGCCAACGATTTATTATTACCTCTTCATGAACTAAGCCTTTTGTTACATATATCAATTACAAGGTGTGTTTTTTATATGGTAAATTATACAATTCAATATAACAAAAAAAAATTACACACGTTGAAAAATACACTAGAAGTTTTAAAATCAAAGCTACCTTAACACAATGCTGGGTTATTAAGCGTTTACTTTATTTGCATTTGGCGTAATTAGCATTTCTTTATTATACTATTTTATGTAAAAAAATCAAGCAACCTCAAAAGAAATAGCCACTAATATATCAAAAGATTTACACTAACACATTTGGTATTACATCAAGCTAACCTTCAAGAATGTTAAATAAGTCTGGCGTTTTTACAATTACCTTTTTGCGTCCCTTTTTATATTACTTTTTTAATAATTACTCTTAAATTATAATAAAACATTTTAATTTATAGATTATGTGCGATATTGTATTATATCTGAATCTCCACTGCAAATTGTGTTTGATTGAACATAGCCTACTCTTTATTTTTAATTCCATCCACTATTTTGCTATTAAATTATTATTTTATTAATTAATCATCTTGTAATATTGATTTTATTAACGTCTACTATGTAGTTTCATAACAGATTTTAAACATGACTATGACAGAGTATTTCTTAAAACGGAATCTTTCGTATTACTTTTGAACCATTTTTATACTGCCTATTCTTTCAGCTTTAACATGAAGATCGTCATAAATATAAACTATTATATACTAATATATTTTTATGGTTTTACTTACCATACATTCTATACTTACGACATCAGCTGTTGTCAAATTCGCCACCTCGGTGCGCCGCTTCATATTAGAACACCGTTGATAATTAATTATCAATTCCTTTATAATGCTAAATCAAATTTACTTTCGTATTTTTTTTATATTTACAAGTTTCCAATATTCTTTTAATTTTCTTTATAATTTACATTGATTAAAATGTTACAAGTCACCAAGAATAAAAACCAATGTGTTATCAGCTTACAAAGTACAAGTATATTACCACCATGGTACAAAGTCACCAAGTTAGTGATAAACAGCAAAGTTACTAAATTAATTAACATAAAACTGAAAACTGAAACTATATTAAATATTAAGTATATTTAAAACTTTCATCTTGCGTTAATTTGTGAAATCACCAATCAAATAAAAAAAATATAGTATTGAAAGCATTGTGTAGGAGTCAATTAAGAACCGGTCGTCTTCCGTGTCTGTAATTAAACTTGTCGAAATACCTAACACCTACACATGATAACGTACAACAAGCTTATCCTCGTAATACACTATGCATTAAATTCGTACATACAAATAGATAGACTTGTTGACTATTTAAAATATACGATGCTAAATAAAATATTAGCTGTTAAATACTAAGCCAAACTACTAAGGAAATTTAATGATTTATTCCAAATCTCTGTTAGATATTCTGACTTTTTAATATCAACCATACCAGTTTTTATTACTGTATAATATACTAGTATTGTATTACCCAATACTGGGTGTATGATACACCTTGCAAGGTGTAATCTGAGTGAACTGTTCTCAACACCTGTCGCCACATTGCCTTTTAAACGCTGCTTTAAATACTTTTATATGTTACAACTATAATAGACATACGCATCGTACTTTTAATACCTATTTTCGCTTCTTGTACAGAATTAAAGTAATGTCAATATAATAACCAACAGAACGCCGTCTCATTATATCAAACACAACTCCCAATAAATAATGCATAAGGGCTTAACAAAACCTAAACAATAGCCTGTGAATCGATTTTGTCCAATTAGTATGTATCGAGTCCCGTTACTCGATACAATAAGCATAGAAACGAACAGTATAACTCGTTTATTTTGCATCAGTTAACAATATCATTATGTAAATTTCAATCGAGAGTGAATCGAGATGGATGTCTGATCGGTTAATT